AAAAAAAAAAAAAAAAAAAAAAAAAAAAAAAAAAAAAAAAAAAAAAAAAAAAAAAAAAAAAAAAAAAAAAATAGCTATAAAAGTCATTATATATGTATGTATGCATTTGACATTTTAAGCTTTTTATTTGTTTAGAAAAAAATTTAAATTTATACAGACTTGGATGTAAACTATAAATTGAGTCTTAAACGAGAAATAAACAATATTTGCATAAGATACTATTTTTATTGATTTCATATACTGTAATTAACTAGTTTCAAAAACTGTTAACATAAATCCGTTTCGAAACTCCGATCTTGGCAAGCAAAAAAAAAAAAGTTATTGAGCTTAAAAACATTTCTTCTCTATTACAGTTTAGCAGAAATTTTTAAAATTTTATGGATTTTAAGAAAAGAAAAATACTGCTTTAATAAATAGATTTAACATTATTAAGTAAAATTATAATCTTATCATTATGAAACAAAAACTTAATTGCATCTTATCATAAAGCAAAGAAAATAAAAAAAAACTTGTTAAATATACATCATAAAAGTAAGGAAAATTTTACTATCAATTAAATAGACCTTCATGTGATACAATCACATATCAATTGGACGCGATCTACATAGTGAGACAACGTGTTAGACGCAATATATATAGAAATTTTAGCTATAGAAATTAATTATTTTAACAAAATTGTCAACTTGAGAAAGGAAGAATTTTGTAATACCTTCATCAACACGATTATTATTTTAAATTTTCTATTGTCTAGAAGAGTAGCATAAAGTACAAACCTAGTAAAATTATTACAGTTAAGAAAATAATTATTTACCGATTTCTTGGCTTTTTGTAAGATTTGCATAGTTACCTTTGCACTTAAAGGTCTAATATCCAACGATGATTTTGGTTTGATTTTTTATTTTCTTTGCAAACATTCAATTTACCAGATCTCAAAATATTATTAGCACTTTTTCTTTTTCTAGGATCAAAATGCTAAAGTTGTTGTATTAATTCAATACAACCCATTTGTGACAATTAAAGGATAGGTCCATCACATATTTCAACAATAATATCTCTATAACACGTAATCATATTAAAACTATATATTTCTAATGCTTTAGTACAATTTTGTTCTTGAAAAATCTCTGGAAAAATCATCCCATAATTTCATTATCATCATAAATCTTGATAATTTTGATGATAATGCTTGTATCATGTGACATACTAGCATTTAAATCCTGATACTGCGGTACAATTTTGATAATTTCATTATTAAAAAATCCTTGGTAATATAGTATGTTAGATCTCCTGATTTATAATAACTTGTAATTATCATCGGTAATAGGATTACGTAACATAATCTTTGAGCCAAACAAAAAAAATTAGTTGTTATTACCCTCTAAGCACAATTTCTATATGCTTGAATCTATTATAAGGAATAAATCATAACAACTTTTATATTTTGACTCAAAGTAACGTTATCCTTACTTTATAGCAAGAAACACAAATATGATAGATCTTATCTAGAATTTTTTTCCGTTACATTTTTTACTTTTCGGTTAACTATGTCCAATGTGGATGACTTGCTTAAAAATGTATTATTCGACATCAAAAAATCAATTTTTAGTTTGTAATTATTGATCTATCATAAAAACAATTTTAAAACTTTTATTCCTTAAGAGGCATTCGGGAAATACATACAATATGTTCAGAAAATCAGTAAAGTTCTTAATAAAAACTTAAGAATATTTGTAATTTTCATAACTATTCTAAATATACAAATCTGTCACTGATATTTCTGATGTAATATTTGGATCATTGTCAGACTCCGACATAATAAAGTTCTTAGGAATTAAAAATATGAATAATATGATTTAACTTTATTTAGAGGCTTTCGGTCCAAAAAAATCTTAACCGGTTAATGACTAATTAACCAGTTGGTTATAACTTAGTTCTGGCCAGCATGATCGGGATTAATGTATTATTCATAATTTAAATCTTAATCCCAGCCAGAATTAACTACAACTCATTATCATTTCAAATAAAGCAAACCAAAATAAGTTAATTAATATTATATTGTGAAAATTATGATAATATTATATCGAAATTATTAACCAAAAAAAAAAAAACTTTTTTATTTAATAAATATTTCTGGCAAATGACAAAGCCATTTGGCCATTTTCCTGAATGACCTTTAAATGGCCAAGTCATTCGAGTCATTTGGTCATTTGGGCAATAATGTTTTATAATCCAGAATTATAAATTTTATTTTGAAGTTGTATATTTTGGACAGAATTATGAGATCACTTTTTAAATGACTGGGAATCATTTTGTCATTTAATCTCGAAATAACCAAGACTCGCCCAAGTCATTTGGTGTCATTTAAATCACTTGTCATTAAGGCTTTAGAGTTAATATTAAAATTACTCTATATTAACTTTAATTTACAAAATACTACAAATTATACATTTAATTTCCCTTTTTAAATATAAGATAAAAGCAGAAAAATAACATATTAACCTCGAATGTAAGTTATTTTATCTGTGCTCTCAGTTTCATCTACATGATCAAGACCTAGATAATCTGTACTTGACAATTTCTTTTCTGATAATATTATATCTAACAAAATCACATATCATTAACAAATATTAAATATAAATAAATATAATGAATATAATGAGTTAAAGTATTTATATTTATTTACCGTCATTTTCAAGATACTCAAGCTTTTTGTATGTGAATTCAGATACAATTGCAATTCTTATTCTTGCAAATTCGGTTTTGTTCATACAAAGTCGAAGTTGAAGACGATCCTTAGTATCAGCAAATGTTTCACCCTGAATTAAAAAGTTATTATTATTAAAATAAAATTCTTGTACTACTTAAAATTGGTTATAAATAAGATTACATTTTTAATAACAAATTTAAATGGAATTCCATGTGTTTGTATCGGATCCTTTGTGAAATGGTATACTTGTATTATTTGATCATGAGAATTGGCAAGTAATTCGTCTTGAGGTATTTCCTGTAATTATCATATATCAGTAATATCACAATATTATTTCAAAATAGATTAAATGAAAAAAAAAACAATTATAAAAAAAAATATAACATAATTCACCTCTGCATATAATGTCATAAATTCCTGTATTCTTCCAATCAATTCAGTTTCTTTATATTCATTTTGAATTTTATGATTCATAACTTCATATAATCTGATTTTGTTATCTGGTAACGACAAAGTCACCCTTTTTAAAATTTCTTCTATGATTTCATTAACGGTGGCATCCTTTTGAAGACGAATATCTATAATTTCCTAAAACCAATTTTTAAAAAATTTTCAAAATATAACAAAAAAATTTCATCATATATATCACATGTCATTTATGCTGTAAAGTACCTCATCTTTAACAGTATTTCCAAGCCAAAGAATTTTAATAAACTTTTCCTCTTCTAGATTTGATTCTATAATATTTAAATCAAATATCTCATAATATAATGTTTGTGCATCTAAAAAAACCTGATTGAGAGTTTGATCAAGTGTGTCAAATAAATTGGTAAATTGTAGTTGAAGAGGATTTATATTCAAATGAAGAGCAACCGCTTCAACAACCTATATTAATGATGATTAATAATATGAAAAGTAAATAATTGTAGATTATATCAGAATTATATATAGTACAAAGAGTTATACATACTTGATAAAGTGTCGATTTTTTATTTAATATTAGGTCAAATTCAAAGTAATCTTGCCATTCTGGCTTGAACGAAATAACAGTAAGCAAAGTCAATGATTCGTAAAATTGAGGAATACTACAAATACGACCAAATTCAGTATATTCTCGAATCCTAAAAGACATTAGGTCATGAATAAATATTGAGTATTAAAAAAAAAATAATAACAACAAAGTTTTAATGCATACTCATTTTCCATTAAAGCCTTTTGAAAACAAATTATATCACCATTCTGTATTTCTGATCCTCTAAAAGTATAATTAAGATACATTTTTTCAATCATGTTTGGTTTGATTTCCTATAATGATATATATATGTTAAAAGGTCTATAAACCCATTATATAATTCTATAACATTTAATATGCTTACTTCATATATTATCAAAGGAGTATCTGGTGGAAGATTCTTTCTCTCACGCAGAATATTAGTACAATCTCCAACTTTATCATAATCTCGTACGTATAAATGTCCAAGACCTCTATATGGTTAAAATATATTAATACATATTTATATTTCTAATTTATTGAATAAATAAAGAATATCTTACTCTAAAGTTTGTGTATCAGGATCAAAATACTTGAGAAAAACAATTATATTCATATTCTCACTTCTTCCAATTGAAGGGAACCATGCCTGTATATATTTTTGACAATGTAAGTTTTAAATCTAACAAAAATTTGAAAGAATTATAATATACATTAACTATATACCCTGTCATTTATTGGTTTGTCTGCTACCTCCATGTATAACTTCAATTCGTGCCGCCGGGGAGTCATTTCTATACGAATTTCCTCCATACCTAACGTAATGAAGTAAATTAAAAATTTACATTAAAATTTAAAGAAGAAATATGATACAATACTTTTATTAAAAGAGGATTCCGGTATTGGAAGATCGGGTCGAATGGTTTGATTCTGGCGCTTTACAAAGACCCAGAATCGCACTTGTTCTGAAGGAATATTAAAACATTGAGAAACCTTTTCTTTAAAAGTAGTATAAGTTGTATTTTTTAGGACATTGTGTGAATGTATTTTAGAAAGTGGTGGATTTACAAAATTAACAAGATCAAATCCTTGATGCTTATTGAAGTTTTCGGCAGTTACAACCTATATACAAAAAATTACTGTTAAAATATTATAAATAATAATATTCTTAAAAAAAAAAATAATAATAAATACATTAACAGTTAATGATAATAATAATCTATAAAACTTAGGAATATCATGGATACGATTATTTTCAATGTGCGATATGGTTCTAATAAGGTGTCAAAAAAAAAAAAACTTAATATTTCATAATGTAAAACTATTATTAGTGATTGTATAATACGCACTGCAGGTGTGGCAAGACTTTTTGAAAACAAATTATATCCCCATTTTGTATCTCTAATTGTTTAAAAGTAAAATTAAGATCCATTTTTTCAATCATGTTTGGTTTGATCTCCTACAATGATATAGATGTTAAAAGGTTTACTATATAATTCTATAACATTTAGTATGCTTACTTCATATATTTTCAAAGGAGTATCTGGTGGAAGATTCTTTCTCTCACAGAGAATTTTAGTATAATCTCCAACTTTATCATACTCTCGTACGTATAAATGACCAAGACCTCTATATGGTTAAATATGTTAATACATATTTATATTTCAAATTTATTGGATAAATAAAGAATATCTTACTCTAAAGTTTGTGTATCAGGATCAAAATACTTGAGAAAAACAATTATATTCCAGCTTTCTTCAATCAAAGGGAAGCATGTCTACATAGATTTGATAATACAAGTTCTAAATCTAACATAAAAAAAAATTGAAAGAATTATAATACATAACAATTATATACCTTTTCATTTCGTCTGTCTGTTTCTTCCATGTATAACCTCAATTTATTTTGCAGGGGAGTCATTTTTGCACGAATTTCCTCCATACCTATTATAATTGAAATAAATTAAAATTTATACTAAAAATTTAAAGAAAAACTATAATATAATAATACTTTTATTAAAATAAGATTCCGGTATTGGAGTATCAGGTCGAATTGTTTTATTTATTCGTTTTACTAAGACCCAGAATCTTATTTGTTTTGAAGGAATATTGAAAATTTGAGAAATATCTTTCTTAAAAACATCATAGGTTTTAGTTTTTTGAATCTTATATGTATATACGTCAAAAAATAGAGAATGATGATCAAAATTGGCAAGGTCAAATCCTTGATAATTTTTGAATTTCTCAGCAGTAACAACCTATATTCATTTTAAAATTATTAGTAAGAACAGCCTTTTTTGAAAAAAAAACTAATAATGATAATAATAAACAAAAAAATAAATAAATGTAATATTATATATTAAAAAATTACCTCGACAGTAAGTAAATGTTTCTCCATTTCTTCTTTTGATCCGGAAAAAAGCCTTTTCTTTTCGCTATATAAATTGCGAAATTCTAATCAACTCGACTCAAGATACTGTAACAATAATGAGAGATTATTGTAACGCAAAATTATATGTTACTATTTTTGTTTACATAATACTTGAGTAACCTCAGTTGTAGATCTTAATCAATTTAATTTTACTTATTATACAAAACCAGCAAGAGTGGTGCCAGTGGTGCCACTATATGTGCATTTTGCATTTTTAGTTTTTTATTCGTTAAGAAGTAAACGACGTAAACGTAAATCAATAATAATTGCATAAAATATTATTTTTATTAATTTTATATACCGTAGTTTTTAAAACTCTTTAATAACATCACGTTTTGAAACTCTAATCTTGGCAAGCAAAAAAAAAATATTCACGGGCTTAAAGAACATTCCTTCCTATTAACAGTTATTAGCAATTTTTAAAAATTTATGGATTTTCAAAAATTTCCAAGGATTTACTGTTTTTAATAAACTAAATCGCATCAACTCAATGGAAAATTAAAAAAACTTGTTAGAAAAAAGGAGCATCCTTAACTTACGCATCATGTGTAGTACGCACTGGCTGGAGTTAAGTTTAACGCTATCACGTGCAAGAGCATAACTCTTAAACTCTGGTAGGATGTACATACGTACGGTGCGTACGTTAAGGAACCTCAGAAAAAAGAACAGGTAATTTAGGCCCCGAGTATAAGGTGCAGCCAAAAAAAATTAATATTAACTCCACGCATTTTTTCAGGTCCGGAATTACGATAATGCCAGCAAGCATCTAAAAAAGAAACCAAATTCTGACTGACATTATCTATAAAAGGAAAGATCTACATGATACTCCGTGAAATCTCATTATATCGCATAGTATCGAATATTTTAAGGTGCTTAATACTAAATTCTGATTTGCCTTTCACAAATTTTTACGGTTAAAATTCATCATGGCCCAATGACTTTTGGCCCAATTCATAATATTGAAGTAATCGTGAAATTGTTCCATGCATAATTATTCCAAATTATAAAACATCAGCAGCCTCGATATATTTTTCCTTCGTAAATTGGTGTGCTAATTGTTTTCTTTCATGCGAGAAATACCTAGAGTAACATTCACTGATACAACTGAAAAGATTCAGAGTTCTTGGTCTACCAATGACAAAACTTCAAACCTTCAACAGCCGTTTCTAAAAGAATTTTAATTAGAGTTGTCAAAAACTTTCCCGACTTGGGTTTGCTCTCTTAGAAATGCTAATAAAATTGGATAAAATCATTGTAAAATAATAATTAAAACCATTAAATAAAAATATTCATGATAATAAGACTTTAGTCATTTGGCCCATGTGGTAAAATTAAATATTACACGCGTGACTTAAAAAATCCGAAATTTAATTAATCCACTTTCACTAGTGATCGATTAAATATGAAAATGTAATAAATTTACAAATCATTGAATAAGCGTGTTCTTGAACTAGATAAGAAATGTGAAGAGGAAGGGTTGTCTAACAAAAAAAGGTCAAGAGTGGCCTGCCCTTTAAATAAAATTTTTCTTGATCTTAAACCACTTATCACGTAATATTAGAAAAAAATTAAATTGTAAGCAATTTTTATATTAATTTCATCGAGCTTTATTTTATATAAAGGAATTATTTTAATATAGCCAAAAAATGGAATCGCAGTTCATACTGCGAGATTTACCACTTACCGAGTCAGTAAAAGTAAACATTTATGTGGTGATCAACAACAGTACATCTGAAAACGAAAAAAATTTACTGAAATATCTCGTGAAGTTTTTTTCAATTGAATGTTGGATAAAGTCTTGTATTGATAGACTAAAATTTTGGTTTGTTTCAAAATTAATTGACTATTCTGTGCGACAGGCTTTATCAGTAATTCACTATAATTCAAGTTTCGTACTCAATCTACATTTTCTGAAAATGATGACTACGCCCATATGGTTTATATTTAAATAAAGGGTATTACTAAAGTTCACCAGTGGTGATGGTCACCATACCAGCATTATGATATACTTTTGACCAGAATTAAAAATCTAATACAATACTGGCCGGCATTACATCATAAATTCACTACTGGTGACCGGCCACCACTGGTGATATTTAGTAATACCCAAAATAAAAATTCATGATTACTGTAGGACTGTAGCGTCAATCTGATCATTAAAGTAAATAGTTAATATTATTATAGTAAAATTAACTATGTAGAAAGCAAGTTGATGTAAATGAGTACCTAGGTGAAATCTATTTCTTCTATGGATTATAGAAAATAAAAAATAATTGTACGTTAAAAGCCCGATCACCGATCTAAATTTAAGCCTAAAAAGACGAAATAATTAATAACAATAATATTTTATATAAAAAATATGTATAAAAATAAATAAAGAACATATTAGTATAGGTTATTATAAAGAGAAAAAAACCGGGATGAAAAATATATTAAAAAATTCAGTTTTAAAAAAATTGGAAAGAAAAGTTATTAAAAAAAATAATTTTAAAAAAATCGTAATCGATCTGACAGCCGATTACATCTTCCTAAGAGGGTGGGAATGGCCGGTTATTCCGATTGATCAACATCTTTGATTTGTAATCATTGTAATCGTCAAATTCCACGTCAAATCCAATTGGAACTTTGGAGAAATTAGTATAACCGGGAATAGCCGAAATTGAAACATGATTAGTAAAATAAATTAAGCTTTTTTTCGTTACAGTAATTATCAAAAAAAAAATATCCGATTAAATTTCATTAACCGGAATTAACGTTACTGTTACACATCAACAATCCATGGCAATCATTAAAAAATCTCATAAACAAATTAATTTACTAAACCTTCAAAACTAACCAAAAAAAAAATAAATAATCAACTGAAAATATGGAATAGATCAGGCGCAGACGTATCACACATTACACATTCGGATAAATTAAATGAAAACCAACCGAAAAAAACCCGAAAAAAATAATTAATAATCAATTTAGAACAATTATTATTATTTGTCGAAGATAAAGTTTGGGCAAAAAAGATTAAAAAAAATGATGCGAAAACGTGCCAAAGTTTTGTTATATGTAATTATAAGGATTAATTCATACACAACAACACATGCATAAATGTAACTTTGGATCGGAAGAGCGAAGAGCGCCGTTTTATATATGTAGTATATGTGTATATAACAAGTATGCAAGATGATAATTGAAATAATGCATCGATACTTCAAATATAGGACGAATACAACAAGCTTATCATAAATAATTTCTCCTTTCAATCGCATGAATGATGTTGTTATTAGCCAAGTTAGCATTGGAAAAAATATTAAGCGTTAACATCTTCGGCTTTAAGGCGACCATTTTTTGCGTGGTATTTCGCCATTTGGAGAAATGATACGTAATTTAATAATTTGTGTACTGTTGGGATTAGCATTATTTTTACTACGACTATAAGTATCATTATATGGAAAGTGTGATTGATGTAAATCTAAATATTGTTTTATTCAAATTAGCATCATTGTAGAAAGAATTTTCTTTTTTACTCAGAATATTAACATGCATTATATTACTCATACAGTATATTACGAGAACAAAAAAGATCTTATGTTTTACCGTTGTGGCTTAAGTGACTTGAACTTTTTTTATTGGTTTAATGACGCGATTAATAATTTCTATATTTTGCATTTTTTTACAATATATTCTTCTAAAGTTCGTCAATTGTTTATTTATTTGTTGTAAAATTTCTTGAAAATTATTTTTTCACTCCAAACAAACTTTATTTATTTATCCCTTCGCAATTCATTTCTTATATTAATTACTATATTGATTATAAATCAAATCTGAGCTACGGTTAATGATAATGAATTTTTCCGTGTGTTTACTAATTATCTTTCTAACAAAGCAGAATGTAAAAAAAAATATATATATATAAAAGGGTCAAAATTTTCTTTGGATATTTTTCATTTCAAATTTATTTTATTCTATTTTTTTTTTATTCCATAATATTTCCCCGAATAGCAGATTGTCCTATTTTAATGAGATTATACCGCTACTATTCTGTCTCATCGAAAAAAATAAAGACTTCCCTCTAATTAAAAAAAAAATCGTTCAAAAAAAAATTTCTAATGGAACAAATTAAAAACGATCAAATTGTTACTGCGACTGAAGTTGATTCTGGTTCAAGTTCTATGTCAACGACCATAAATGAAAAAACATTGGTATTTATTGTCTTTTTTCTAAAAAAAAAAATAATTAAATAAAATAATTAAATCGATAATCCTTTCTTCTTTTTTTTTAGACAAAATTCGAAGGAAGTGATGATATTAATGATCTCTCAATTCAATTAGAAAGATCAGCAAAACGAACAGAATTAATACAGAGTACTGAAAAAGGATCAACATCCGCGAAGAATCCTGCTTACGTAGAATGGCATGGAATAAATTATTCTATATCTGAAGAAAATAATGTATCCTGGTGGAATAAAATTAAAAATTCTGATTCTAACTGAAATTAGAATCCGGTAAGCATGTACGAAAAATAATAGAAAATATTCATGGTTGTGCTAATCCAGGTAAATAATTTATGAATTTTGTACATGTATATTTTTAAAAAAATAATAATCTTATTTCATTTAAAAATAAATTTAAAAGGTGAGGTTCTCGCGATCATGGGACCTTCTGGTTGTGGTAAAACCACTTTGTTAAATCTTCTTGGCAATCGCGTTGGAAGTAAAGGAGTTCAAGGAACTATAACTCTAAATGGTCATAAAATAACAAAAAATTCAAAGAGATTTGTTGCTTATTGTACTCAAGATGATATCTTTTTCCCTCATTTAACCGTAAAGGAAACTCTCAGTTACACTGTAAGTAAGAAATGCTGCGCCATCGTTCTTTACTTCCATGTCAATACTTTTTTTTTATATATTTGAATTAAATTTTTTTATTTACAAATTTAATAGGCTCGATTACGTCTTCCACGTGAAATGTCACGACGTGATAAATTAAAACAAGTTGAAAATACTATGGCATTATTAAATTTGACGAAATGTGCCAATACGATAATAGGAGACCATATGACTCGTGGTGTATCGGGAGGAGAAAGAAAACGAGCCAATATTGCATCTGAGCTGTTAACAGATCCAAGTGTTATTTTACTAGACGAACCAACATCCGGTTTGGGTGAATAATCAAAAGATAATTTTGAAATATTCGAAATATTCGCTTCGTTTTTTTTTATTAATTTCTTACTCTTTTATTATCAGATTCTTCATTGGCTCTTGAGCTTACAAAAATTCTTAAAGAATTCGCTGTTAAGCAAAGGAAACCCATTATTATGGTTATCCATCAACCTTCATCTCAAGTATTTGAATCTTTCGATAAATTAATGTTAATGGCTGATGGACATATGGTCTATTTTGGTGAAAGAGCTGGTGTAGTGAAATACCTTGCTGATCAAGGATATAAATGTCACCCTAATTTTAATCCCGCTGATTATATATGTATGTATCATTTTTTATTATAAACATTTATATTTTAAAATTTAAATAAATATATGCAGCATTATAACGTTTTTCTTTTCATTATAGTGGAACTTTTGAACGATAATACAATCAAGCAGAAATTAATAAATGCATATACACATAAAACTCGGGATGATCCAACTGGAAAACAAATATTCGAAAAGTATTCTCGTAGAACGCGTGCTGATAATCAATTAAATAATACCATATTAAATGCACCGGTTACAAGTGAACGTCGTTGGGAAGCTACATTTTTGCAACAATTCTCGATTCTTACCGAAAGAACCTTTAAACAAAATATAAAAATTAGCTTATCAAAAGTTAATATATCTCAAACCATTGCTTTGACTATATTTTGTATCTTAATTTGGCTTCAAATTCCTTTCTCTGAAACTAATATCAATGATCGTATTGGAAGTGTGAGTATCGATGATATAAATTCTTCTTTTTTTTTTTAACTTTATTTACCGGTATTCTAAATTTCTATTTATTTTTTATTATAGATTTTCTTCGGTAGTGTAGTTTGGTCATTCTATGTATTGAGTGGATCAGTATCATCTTTCCCGTTGGATTTAGTCATGTTATCGAAAGAACGTCAATCACGATCTTATCGTTTACTATCATATTATTTATCCAAACAAATCGCCGAATTACCTTTAGTCTTATTTAATCCTGCATTATTTACTATTCCAGTATATTGGGCAACAAATTTATTACCAGATTTTGGTAGATTTGTAGCTTATTTAGTAGTAGTTTTACTTAGTGCATTAACTTCCCAGAGTTTCGGTTATTTATTTGGTGCCACTATATTGAACGTACAAAAAAGTATAAGTAAGTATTATTTTAAACATTTTAATCTTATAATTTTGTAATATACAGTATATTTAATTAATTGAATTTTTTTCCTATCGAATAAAGCTGTTAGTTTGGTATTTATGCTTGCAACTATGTTATTAGGTGGATTTTATATAAGACATTTACCAACTGGCTTAACTTGGTTAAATATCTTGTAACTAATCATATTATTAGTAAGATTTTTTTTTCAAACCAATAATATTAACAATTTTCTATCTCTATTAATAGTCATACGTAAAATACTCGTATTCTTTGCTTTTGCAAATTCAATTTGATTCACCGAAAGCTCAATTTAGATGTGCTAGACCGGAAGAATTACCTGCCGGCGAATTAAGTATGTGTGTAGGAGATGATGTTCCAATGTCAAGTATTCCCGGTATTTCTATAATAGAGAATCTAGGATTAAATGATTTACCTTGGTATGCTAACCTAATGGTATTATTAGGTTTCTGTATTGTAGTGCGTGTTCTTGCTTATTATTCATTACGTAAAAACAGTAGGAGAAACAAAGAATAATAATAATAATAGTTATAATAATAGAATACTCTACTTGTATAATTGAATCATATATGCTGTGCCTCAGGTGTCAGGTGATAATTGACATAAGTCAGATACTTGAAGCACATTCACCTGTATCGCTACAATCAAGTCTTCCTTGATTTTATTCATGAAATTACTTTTTAACCTAGAAGTAAATTTATATAATCACAATAAATTATACATTTGATATATAGAATCATTTACTTGATACATAAAGCAAATTTTTTTTTTTACAGGATTGCATATGGTGTTATTTTTTTTTCCAAAAACCATTCTAGTTATGATATCATCCCAATTGAAGCGAGGTATAAAGGTTGGCGGCTGTACATATTTTTTCAGGGACGGAATTATGATAATTTCGGTCAGCACCCAAAAAAGGTAATACTTTTCACCAGGAATCAACTATATAAGGAAAGATTTTCATGATTTTTTTTTCCTGATTGTAAGCAAATTTGAACCTTACCTTTTTATGTATATTTTGGGTCCTCGGTTTCGGCTTTGGCAAAAACCGTACCGAACCGAACCAATCGGAGCCCAAGAAATAGATGAGCATAAAAATTTAGCTCATTTTTATTGGATATTAATCATATTGATCGGTCCCCGGTACGGATCGGTCCTCAGATCTTGGACCGAAGACCGTGGAAAAAATATCATTCTTGATAGATATGCAGGAGAATCTTGATATGCATAATATATTTTATAGTAAAGTCTATCAAGAATAATACCTCATGTCTATCAAGAATGATACTTTTGCAAGACCGTGAAGACTGGTCCCAAGACCGACGCAGGACCGGTCTTCGCTAGGACCGATCCAACCCTAATTATGTGGGAATTTTTCCTTCAACTTCATTCATAACAGCTAACATTCATTTATTTTCTTTCTTTAGGTTTCAGATGGCTTGTTCTAAGTTTTTATTTTAACGAAATGTTAACTAATAATTATGTAGACACTGGCTCTGAGAACCCTGAAGCCTGGAAGTAAGTTTTTGAAACACCTTCAAAAACTTTCTTTTAAAAAACGTTTTAATAACTTTGATTAATTTATTTATTTAGTAGGGAAACAGCTTCTACAGGAATCCCAAGTTTTGAATTGAATATTTATTGCAAATCAAGACAATTTTGAACTTTGAATATTATTCATAGAGTTAATAACATTTTATATTTATATTAATAGAATAATTTTATTTATAGATTAGAATAATAATGGATTTGAGTACGATTAGATTTAGAATAGAATACTTTAATATTTCTTAATTAAAGTTTATAGAACACTTTACGATTTATTTGCGACATTGAAAATATAAATTTAATATACATTTAATGTAACTTTAATATATATTGAATACAATTTTACGATACAGTAAATATAACTTGTTAAATATACATTAAATATAACTTTACTATACATTAAATATAACGTTAATATGGATTTAACATAACTTTACTAATCTCGATACTATTTTTGTACGACCTAGTTAAATCAGGTGTCGATCTCCTTAATATGCATCAACTTTATACATACGATTTGACTTGAACTTATAGTAACGATGTGAGACCATATCGTGACCAAACCTTGGTTATAAGGTTTATGACATAATTTCGACTTGGTCACGATGTGGTTTCGATTTTAAAAGTTTCTGCAAAGTTATTTTAAAATTATTTGTGGCTGTTCAATTAAGTTTTTAAAATCCGGAATTAAATGATTGGTAAATGATTGGCAAGGTGATATAAGCATGTCTGCTATGCTGGCTACTCCTCATCCAATAACTATTTATTATATGGAAAGTGTAATGTAAATCTAAAATATTATTTTATTCAAATTTAGCATCATTGTGAAAAGAATTTTCTTTTTTACACAGAATATTAACATGCATTATATTACTCATATATTACGAGAATCAAAAAAAATAAATAAAATCAGATAAAATCACTTATGTTTCAAAGTTGTGGCTTAAGTGGGCTTGAACTTTTTTAATGACGCCATTAACAAATTTCATTTTTTTTTTACAATATTTTCTCCTAAAGTTCATTAATTGTTCATTATTTGTTGTATAATTAATTTAAATTTACTTGTAAAACTATTTTCCACTTACTACAAATAAACTTTATTCAATTCCTTCGCAATTTTTTTTATATTAATTATACTGATTTGCATTTTATTTTATTTTTTTTTTTATTCCATAATATTTTCCCTGAATAGCAGATTGACCTATTTTAATGAGACTATATCTCTACTATTCTGTCTCATCGAAAAAATAAAAACTTTCCTCTAATTAAAAAAAAAAAATCGTTCAAAAAAAATTCCAATGGAACAAATTAAATACGATCCGACTGAAGTCGATTCTGAAAAAACATCGGTATTTATTGTCCTTTTTTTTAATGATAACTCAATGAATATAGATGTAGTACGTAAAAAAAAACAAATAAATAAAATAATTAAATCGATAATCCTTTCTTTTTTCTTTTTTTTTTTAGACAAAATTCGAAGATATTGATGATCCATTAGAAAGATCAGCAAAAAAACGAACAGAATTAATACAGAGTACTGAACAAGGATCAATATCCGCGGAAAAACCTGCTTGCGTAGAATGGCATGGAATAAGTTATTCTATATCTGAAGAAAATAATGTATCCTGGTGGGATAAAATTAGAAATTCTGATTCTAAATTAGAATCTGGTAATCATGTACGAAAAATAATAGAAAATATTCATGGTTGTGCTAATCCAGGTAACTAATTTATGAATTTTGTTTATTTATATTTTTTTAAAAAATAATAATCTTATTTCATTTAAAAATAATTTAAAAGGTGAGGTTCTCGCGATCATTGGACCTTCTGGTTGTGGTAAAACCACTTTGTTAAATATTCTTGGCGATCGCGTTGGAAGTAAGGGAGTTGAAGGAACTATAACTCTAAATGGTCATAAAATAACGAAAAATTCAAAGAGATTTGTTGCTTATTGTACTCAAGATGCAATCTTTTTCTCCCATTTAACCGTAAAGGAAACTCTCAGTTACACTGTAAGTAACGTTGACAGAGCGCCCAAAACTGAAATGCTGCGCCATTGTTTTTTACTTTTATGTCGATACTTTTTTTTTATATATTTGAATTAAATTTTTTTTATTTACAAATTTAATAGGCTCGATTACGTCTTCCACGTGAAGTGCCACGACGTGATAAATTAAAACAAGTTGAAAATATTATGGAATTATTAAATTTGACGAAATGTGCCAATACGATAATAGGAGACCATATGACTCGCGGTGTATCGGGAGGAGAAAGAAAACGAGCCAATATTGCATCTGAGCTGTTAACAGATCCAAGTGTCATTTTACTAGACGAACCAACATCTGGATTGGGTGAGTAATCAAAAGATAATTTTGAAATATTCGAAATATTCGCTTCGTTTTTTTTTTATTAATTTCTTACTCTAATTTCATTATCAGATTCTTCGTTGGCTCTTGAGATTACAAAAATTCTTAAAGAATTCGCTGTTAAGCAAAAGAAAACCATTATTATGGTTGTCCACCAACCTTCATCTGAGGTATTTGAAACTTTCGATAAATTAATGGTAATGGCTGATGGACATATGGTCTATTTTGGTGAAAGAGCTGGTTTAGTGGATTACCTTGCTGATCAAGGATATAAATGTCCCCCTAATTTTAATTTTAATCTTGCTAATTATGCATGTATGTATTATTTTTTATTATAAATATTTATATTATAAAATTTAAATAAATATATGCAACATTATAACGTATTTCTTTTCATTATAGTGGAACTTTTAAACGATAATACAATCAAGCAAAAATTAATAAATGCATATACACATAAAACTCGTGATGATCCAACTGGAAAACAAGTAGTCGAAAGATATTCTCGTAGAACGCGTGCTGATGATCAATCCAAATTAAATGCACCGGTTACAAGTGAACGTCATTGGGAAGCTACATTTTTGCAACAACTCTCGATTCTTACCGAAAGAAACTTTAAACAAAGTAGAAAAATTATCTTATCAAGACTTAGTATATCTCTAGCCATTACAATGACTATATCTACTATCATAATTTGGTTTCAAATTCCTTTCGCTGAACCTAATATAGATGATCGTGTTTCAAATGTGAGTATCGATGATATAAATTCTTTTTTTTTTTTTAACATCATTTATTCTAAATTTCTATTTATTTTTTATAATAGATTTTCTTCGGTTGTACGAATTGGACATTCTATGTAATGAGTGAATCAGTATTATCTTTCCCGTTGGAATTAGACATGTTAATGAAAGAACGTCAATCACGAACTTATCGTTTACTATCATATTACTTATCCAAACAAATCGCCGAATTACCTTTAGTCTTATTTAATCCTATATTATTTACTATCCCAGTATATTGGGCAACAAATTTATTACCAGATTTTGGTAGATTTGTAGCTTATTTAATAGTAGTTTTACTTGGTGTATTAACTTCTCAGAGTTTCGCTTATTTTTTTGGTGCCACTATATTGGACGTACAAAAAAGTATATGTAAGTATTATTTTAAATATATTGATCTTATAATTTTGTAATATATATTTAATTAATTGGATTTTTTTTCCTATCGAATATAGCTATCAGTTTGATATTTTTGATTATAACTATGTTATTAGGTGGATTTTATATAAAACATTTACCAACTGGCTTAACTTGGTTAAAATATCTTGTAAGTAGTTACGATAAATCTGAATTTTGTTTTTAAACCAATAATATTAACAATTTTCTATCTCTATTAATAGTCATTCCTAAAATACTCGTATTCTTTGCTTATGCAAATTCAATTAGATTCACCGAAAGCTCAATTTAGATGTGCTAGACCAGGAGAATTACTTGCTGGAGAATTAAGTAAGTGTAACGCAGGAGATAATTCTCCAATGTCAAGTATTCCCGGTATTTCTATAATAGAGAATCAAGGATTAAATGATTTACCTTGGTATGCTAACCTAATAGTATTATTAGGTTTGTGTTTCGTAGTGCGTGTTCTTGCTTATTATTCATTACGTAAAAACAGTAGGAGAGAATAAGAAGAAGAATAATAATAGTTATTATAATAGAATACTCTACTTTTATAATTGAATCATATATGCTGTGCCTCAGGTATCAATTTGCGTCAGGTGATAATTGACATAAGTCAGATACCTGAAGCACATTCACCTGTATCGCTACAATCAAGTCTTCGGCCTTTATTTCATTCATGAAATTACTTTTTAACCTAGAAGTAAATTTATATAATCACAATAAATTATACATTTGATATATAGAAATCGTTTACTTGATGCATAAAGCAATTTTTTTTTATGGGATTACATATGGTGTTATTTTTTTTCTAAAAACCAAACAAGTAATGATATCGTCCCAATTGAAGCGAGGTAAGGTTGGCGGCTGTACACATTTTTTCAGGGCCGGAATTATGATAATTTCGGTCAGCACCCAAAAAAGGTAACCAGGAATCAACTATATAAGGAAAGATTTTCATGATTTTTTTTTTCTGATTGTACACCTTACCTTTTTATGTATATTTTGGGTCCTCGGTTTCGATTTTGGCAAAAACCATACGAACCGAACCAATCAGAGCCCTAGAAATAGATGAGAGAATAAAAATTTAGCTCATTTTTTATTGGATATTAATCATATTGATCGGTCCCCGGTACGGATCGGTCCTCAGATCTTGGACCGAAGACCGGGAAAACTGGTCCCAAGACCGACGCAGGACCGGTCTTTGCTAGGACCGATCTAACCCTAATTATGTAAGAAAGCCTCGTAATTGGGTGATATTCAACGGGGAATTTTTCCTTCAACTTCACTCATAATCAAGTTTTCTCCTTTTAATAATAACTCTAATAAAGGAGCTTTTAAATTGATAAAAATTTCAAATGTTTCATGTTGATAAATATTCTCAAGAATTCCAGTTGGATCTTGATACAAAAATTCAGTTTGATACTCAATCTAAAACTCTTTAATCTCATCAACTGCTACGGTTTATCCGTTCTATTCCAAATTACAGTATTGTGTTATAAGGATAAAACGGTCGTAAAGGATGAAATCGGATAAAAAGATTAACGAATTCCATTAAATTCCCGATTATAAGTT